ACCAAAATATACACTAAACACAGACACTCTTTCTTTAAAACTAATTATTTTATCATTTCTGTACAATGAAATGTGTACGCCTCTGACCTTTATAGGCAATAACTTACATTATATACCGAGAAAAACAATAGTGAAATCACGGAAAAATTTGACACTTCTTTAGTAGTGTGCGTGACTTGACAAGCAAACGAAAGGCGACGTTTAAACATTGGCACGCTAGATGGCATCAAAGTGATCTTAAATAATTCCGATAAATCAATATCTTAAGTTCAATAATTGGTTGATTTCCTTTTCCAACCGTTAAAAAAAAGCAGTATAAAATAACATAAAACTAATGACCTTAGACACCTATGTTTTTTTGTAAACAATTTTATTACTTATTATCGTTGTGTGGCATACCAAAAGTCGTAGATAAAGCGACGTTGCCGTCCTTACTGACAACAAACTGATAAGAGTACTAACTGTAGACAGAGAAGTCTACGGTACTAACGTATTCCTGACCTTGAATTGAAGAAACAAAAGCGTTGCCAAACTTACGTACGTTCACTTGTTTGACTTGTATAAAATATATTCTGATTTCGGTTGTCACGCGCTATGATTTGGGCGCGGAATTTCTTGTGTATTATACCTATTTTGTATGCATGTTTTCATTGATTCGAATTGCAATATTTCTCTAGTATATATTTTGAGACTATTTGTAATTTATTGTAGGTATAGTAATTAATTATTTTAAAAACGCAATTATGTTTTCGATAGTATTATTAACAGCAGGCTGGCCCGTGATTTTTCTGAAATATCGTCACAATACTGATTACCTACGTCATACGTGTCAGTGTTTCATATATGAATGTGTTTGAATATGTTTTTGGTCAACAATAAATACAATTATTATAAATCGGTAAACTACCAAAGTAGTCACAAAATTAAACTTGCAAACATTTGCTAAATATGGTTTTGCCGGGTTACATTAAACACCCTTTACGCATTTTGCAAACAGTTTCAGACAGACACACATTATTAGTTTGTTATATTTTGTAGAGCTCAAGTTCACTCGTCACTACGTCACACCTTATGATGCGTTCAGAAACAAATATAATTCAGTTACATAAAATCCTTTTTTCTGTTTCGTGCTTTATTGTTTATAAATAAATAGCTTATTCTAATCTGAGTTATATTTTTCTTATTCGTCGGCCAATTCTACCAGGAATATAAAGATAACATTGAAATAAAAAGATAAGTGAATTTTTGTACATTTTAGTGTTCTAGATCTTGTGTTCCGAACGCAACCCTACTTATATAGAATTGAAGGAAGATTTGTATATATTATATTGTATAGTACCTGGATGACATGATGATGATGTTTTTTGTTTTTGGAAATCGTGTGTTTTGAATTAAAAATACATACTGATAAAATATGAAGAATATTTTTTTGATCTTACCGACATAATAAAAAAAAAACTGAACTCGTTATTAAAATGAAAAATCATGAGTGCAGTAAAATTTTTGTATTTTTAAAAAAATACTACAAAAAAGGGCTCGAAATAATAGATTTTCTCACAAAAGAAGGGAACTTGAAAAAAAAAAAGGGAAAAAAGTCAATCCTAAGACAAGTCGCGAACCATGGAACTAAGATTTCGCTACAGTGCGTTATCCACTTGAGCTATTACGACCGTTATTATATTGTTAAAATTTACCTTCCTATATTGTAGCAGTTTTTCATTGCCTGAAAACGGGGATAAAACGACATTTTATGAAAATCGTTGCAGCCGTTTCCAAGATTCCGATTATATATATACAGGAATTGCTCGTAGGTATAGGATTTATATTTTTGTTTTACTAAAAGCTTTTGTTGAGTGCTTCGAATTTCAAACTTCCTGCTTATTATCACAAAATAAATCGTTTTTTTGTTTTGTGTTATCAGATTTTGTTGTTATCTCTTGTTTGTGAATTATAGTTACTTATGTTTTAAGTAGTAGGTTGTGAAATGTCTAATTATTGTAATAATTGGTACAGTTACAAATCATCAGTGTTATTAGTTTTGAGTGAATAGGCATGTATCAGTATAATTATGTTGCTTCAAATAGGTACTTTTGTTTTGATAAAAAATTCAATAGTGTAATGTAATAAAATAAAACTGCGTTATATTGTAATCAATGTTGACATAATTTATTTCCCAAAGTTATAAATCAATTAAATAGTTTACGCCAACAAATATAAATTTTATTTTTACAACAATCGTACATAGCATTTTGTAGTTCTGCCTACCCAATCTACACATACACAAAAATTAAAAACTTGTTTTTTTACATACACGCCATCTAGTGTTCCAGCTTCGTAAACGTAGGGATACGTCTGTGTGTGTGTAAACGACCCTATATTCAATGACAGATGTTATAATCAAAATTAATGTCGAATTGGGTGGATTTTGAGGCAATGATATGACCCATTCCAATAAAATGTAATATCCGATAACCGCTAAGTCTACTCCTACGACTTAATAATTTTCCAATTACACAAAACTCCAAATAAACTAAAAATGTTGACTTCAGCGCCATCTTGCGGGAGAATGGCTGGGAACAGTCCGTAGGTTTCACCTTAAGAACAAACTTACACACTCTTAGCCACTTGGCGTCTGAAAGGAAATAGAGTCGTAGCGTAGTCGTAGTAGTTAGTTTCGATTATTGCTGCACAAGTACGTGTTTAAACTTCCTTCTAATAAACTCTCACCGCATTAATTCATTTTTTATTGTTTTCAGTCATTATCGTTATTGTTATTATTGCTGTTGCCGTTATCTGTTCCTGACTGTTTCTAGTTACTGTTTTTGTACGTCGAAGTTCAAATGGCGTCATATTCTAATAAAGAATATGCCGACATCATGTACTGTTATGGTTTGCTGACAGCGAAGCTTTTGGGGCTCGTAGAGAATATCAACGTCGCCTTCATGATCGCCGGCTTCCCCACGTGTCTGTCTTCGGAGCTAACTATCAACAATTAAGTGCGAGTAGACTCCAGTTTTGCTGTTTCATGGTGAACGCCGACGCAGATGAAACAATTTTTTTAAGACACATTCTATGGACGGATGAGGCCAAATTTGACCGAGATGGTATTACAAACTACCATAATCTTCATTACTGGGCACTGAAAGTGGACAAAAATCCAAAAACAACTTAAAGAAACAGCGTCATAGTGCAGTTTTTCTTTGAATATTTAGATGGGCATTGGAAATGACTAAACTTATTGGGCCTTATTTAATGCCACAAGATTTAAAAGGTTAAATTTACGAAATTTTTTTACGAAATGATTTGGAAAACTTATTAGCATATATTCCAGAAGAAATTAAAAGTCATTTGATTTATCAGCATGCCGGCTATCCAGCTCCCTTCCGGTTATCTGTACGATAGTGGCTTAATAGCCAATACCCAAACAGGTGGATTGGGAGGAGAGGGCCAATTCCGTGGCCTGCACGAGGTCCTGATCTGACGCCAATTGGTTTGGGGTCACATGAAGGACTTAGTCTACGTAACCCCAGTGAATTCTCTTGAAGAACTTCGAAGGCTTATCTTAAATGCAGCAAAGCAAATTAGGGCTATAATATCTTCAAAAATAACGAAAACCGAAGTAAGAAAAAAAATTAGGACGTGTATCCGCAATCAAGGGGCTTATATTGAACAAGATCGACTTGACGAGATGTGTCTCCGCAATCTTTAAAAAACTTAGTATAAAAAATTGTTTAAGTTTAGAAATGACCCACATTAGTTTAATTGACTGTACATTATGAATAAATGTTTTCACCGGGATATTATTACATTTTTGGATAGCTGGTTAAATGGGCATGTTTTTTAAAATATTTTTATTTTATATTATTTTACTTCAAAAAATTACTATGTAATGAGTTCATAGTAATTTCTTGAAGTACGTAATATTTTATGATAAATATTGTGTAAAAAAATATTAAGACACATAATTTTTTATTGAGAATATTTTTGTACTTTATATGATTCTTTCTTTGCCTGGTTGAAGCTTTAATAAAATTAATAAACTTAAAAGAAAGGATACAAAAAAGGTTTTATTTTAATTTAGAATTTAATTTAGAATTTTTGACGACTCCGTGGCGCAGTGGCTAAGCTATGAGTGGCTGCGCTGGGGTCGCGGGTTCGAATCCCGCACGGATCAAGTATTTGTATGGCCTACAAATAATTGTTCCGGGTCTGGATGTTTGTCCTTGTGCAATTTATGTTTGTAAACTGCCCCCACGATACAGGAGAAAATCCTAGTGGTAACATCTTTAAAAAAAATTAATACGAAATTATGGGTGATTATTGAAAAATCTTAAAAATTCGTATATCTCAAGACCTCTTCATTTTTGCCCATACATATCGGAAGTCAAATTTGTAGCATTTTGACTGCCCCTGTCCCTTATCATGCCCTGCCAAGAAGTTTTCGAGCTCCCAGTAATTCTGTATAGAGCACTTTTCAATCACACACAGAACACAGCAACATTTTTAGAGAGTTCTCACTTGCTGGAGCCAATCCATTTGCGCAAACTCTACGACGAAAAAAAAACCAGAAATTGTAGTTGTAAGGTATCAGTAATGAGTATGATAATAATGAGCATGATGTATGTGGTAGAGCCATACTGCAGCTATATTATGGTTATAGCACTAATAGGTGGGTACAACCAGGGAAGGACCACTCTCTTATCGATTACTACAGAATAGCAGCTTAGTGCTGCTGTGTTTCACATAGTGAGTGTAGAGAACCAGAGAACCTATTTGCTGGATACGAGGCATTCCATCTTAGTCCTTAGGGGTGACAACGCATTTGTATTTTGATTAATAATTGACACTAAATTAAGATGTCCATCATGGTTAAATAATACTAGTTTTTTTTTTTTTACGGATTTTATAAGAAATCATTATGTCCATCATGGGCCACAGTATGCGCTTACTGTGCGATTGTTTGTATAAAAAAATTAAAATACGAATTTCTATTTATACAGCTCAATATCCTCCAAACGCCGAGTCATCAACGACCAAGCTCCTCACTGCCCTGCAGCTATTGTTACTGCTACTAACGCCTTCACATAGACGTTTCCTGCAAAGATTGCTAAGGCTTTTAAGTTTGGTGGCTGATAATGAAGCCTCGAACAGGATGTCTCCAGACACATTGGCTACGATGTTCACACCACATTTACTATGCCCGAGAAAGGTATGAGAACTATCATTTGATGCATGCATATTGAGAGGCGTATGTCCAATTGTGGACTTTAGGCTAGTAAAGAAGAAAGAAAAAAGCACTTTGTTTATGATGTATGATTTTCTTTACCAGCCAGCTAGTAGTTCCGTTAGAGAAGGTCACGTGTATTTCGTATCTGTTGTGAGAGGATTTTGTTGTTATCACTACATCGTGGATTCGCAGTTCACACCTATCACACTACATAGTTTAAATCTACAGACCGAGATTGTGTGATGTTAGTTAGTTAGTTTTCGACAGGCTGTCTTCCGCAACTCCCATGTCTAAGGACGTATTTTGCGTGTGGGCAGAAATAATGTGATTATTCAAGCCATGAAATCTGTCCGAAGAATTTCAACAGTCCTTTGATGTTGCAAGCAACTTTGGACAGCGATCCCGGCGTGCCGAGATGTCAAGCCTTGTATGCAGCGAACTCCGGACATGCAGCAACACGTGGGCCGCCGTTTCTTCCTTCCCGATACATGCACTGCACAGGGGACTATCTGTAACACCTATGGTAAATGAATGTTTGTTAAAAGAGCCATGTCCTGTGATAGTACTTGTTACTATCCTGATCTGTGGCTTGTTCAGTCTCATTACAACCTTGGATAAACGACTGTTTATTTCAGGCAGAACCTCCCTAGCTTGTATACAGTCTACTATATTTTTCCAAAGCTAAGTGTGTATATTAGTGAAGTTTCTACATACCAGCGAACGAATGTTACTAAAGGGGATTGGTTCCGGCCCTATAGTGGCCAGAACCAATCCTCTTCTGACCAGATTACCTGCTGCATAGTTGCCTCTGGATCCACTTTGTACCTTTATCCATTGCAGGGTCACATTGTTGTGTTTACATATCTCATTTAATCGTTGCCATACTTTCGGTCAGTATTCTGATGGAGAAGTATTTTATCTTCCTAGCATCTATTGCTATGGCCACTTGGATGATACTCATACATTCTGCTTGAAAGACTGTCTTATGGACACCCAGCGGTGTACATATGTGGCTATTGAGGTGTCCAGAGAAAGTTCCAGATCCAACACCTTCATTTGTTTTAGAGCCATCCATGAAAACTCTAAGCTCTTTTGGGCTTAATCCCTCCGGTTTCCTTTAATTGTATCTTACATTTTTTATCAGACACAGATTGTTTGGGGATCTGCCTTCACTACACAAATTGCTTGTAGGATAGAAATTTTTGAGTAAAACATATCAATTATATCTTTGTGAGGGACTCTTACTCCTAAGATTAAGGGTTTTCAGTGAGTAGATGAAGCGGGGTCAGCTTCAGCATAGCCTCCAAGGCTGCTGTTGGTGTAGTCTTTATGTAGCCTGTGGCAGCTATACATGCCAGTCTCTGGTAACACTGAAGCTTCTTTACAGTGGTGGCTTCATTTGTTTTGGTCCACTATACCACAGAGCCGTATGTGATCATGGGCTGAATTACAGTTTTGTACAGCCGTAGTAAGTATTTTAAGTATTTTACCTCAGAGGATAGCTGAAGTTTTGTGCTGAAGAGACTTGGCAGATGATAATTATTCATCATTCGTTTTTGTGTGAACATAACTAAAACTGTTTTTAGCTGTTATTAGAAAGATGCTGCAGCCCATCTAACATCTTACAACACCCACGGGATAATATGGGGTAGTGAACATCTAATATTATAGCGATGTTATTTTGTTGGCTCCTCTAGTAAACCTACGAGCCGTTATTGAGCATATAGCTGGTCAAGCATCAACATAATGAAACTGTAAGCATTAAAACATCTTTTGTAAAACAAACATTAGATATAAATCAATGGGGGATTTCACAAATTTTTAAGCCATCAGGGCGGCGTCACTTAAGAATGAGGTGAAATAATTGACAATTTGTTGACCGGAAGTAATTTGTTTGAAAAATGTAAGGGTAATGTGTCTTTCTAAAATGTTACTTATTATACTATTGATTAGATTAGAAATGGATAAATCAAACTACGGTTATTCCTAAAAGTAGCAGAATTAAAGAGTTAAAAATATGCAAAATATAAAAGGCAACACCTGAGGCATTGTTTTGTATAATTTACATAGTCGAAAAAAGTCTTATTAAAAACAAAATTTTATGAAACAAATGACTGCCTCAGTTTCCACTAGCGAAATCTTTTGAGCGGAAGATTATTATTCCTCGTTAAGCGATCACAGGTGAAAAGAAACTCTAATATTGAATTCATATAAAAATTAATTTCAGCTGTCACCGGAAACATTCCACGCGGACTCTATAGCTTTATCACCGGTTATAAGTTTCATGATCCGCCATTCTGCGAAGCTATTCGACGCACCCACGCAACTGATCACTGATGCCGCCGCATACTTCACTATACGCGAACGCAAGAGGATTATGTCGCCCGATGTCGATTTGGATGAAAGCATTACAGATAAGTATGTAACTTTTAATAACTTTTCTTTTTCTTGATCATTAGTGGTAAGCATGCGTATTAGGGGCACGAGTGAAACAACTGCTTGCAAGTCACACACTGATTTATTTCTTAAGTGTATAATAAGTGTACCCGCCAATTAGCACATAAAAGTCTATAGCTGGATATGAACTTGGGTCTATTCTGCCGTAGAGAGAATTTGTCTAGTCATAATGCTTGGCAGGCAGATTGTTGCAGTATTTTATTTGTGGATTATGGAGTATTTTATTTATTTTATTAGTGGCCAGTACACGGTGGAGCCACCCTGCAGCTATATTATGGTTGTAGCACGAATGGGTCGGCTCGACCGGAGTAGGACCATGATCTCACAGAATACAAGCATAAAATAGTAGCTTAATGCTGCTGTGTTTCTTATGGTGAGTCTATGGAATTGGAACCGGATACCTGTTTTACTGGAAATGAGGCATTTTATCTTCATCTTAAAGGTTGACAATGCATCTACATTTCCACAACATCCACTTATCATTTGTGCTCTTTTGTCACCGTTATTCTATAAAAAAATATACTAGTCATGTCGCACTTTTTACGCTGCTTATATAATTATAATAAGGATATCCGATTTGGATATTTTACATGTGGCGTGAAGAAGATGGTTTTACCTCTATCTATCGGAAGTCATGAGTTCTTCCAAAGTTTCTTATAGTCGTCTTTTACGACATTCATGTAACGAAATTAGGTGAAGCATATGATTTTATATATATATATATATATATATATATATATATATATTATAATCATATGCTTCACCTTATATTGACTTTATAATTAAATTTTAAAAAAATTATAATTTTATACTTCCCGGAATGATGATGCTAAAAAAACATATAGCTGATGTGAAGCATCAACGTTCCGGGAAGTCTGCAGTTTGTGATCATATCCTAGACGGCCCCAACCATTACATCAGATTTGATAGACCACAAATCCTCGCGAAAGAACACCGATTCCTACCAAGGATGATACGTGAGGCTATTGAAATTAAAAAACATCCTAATTTCAATAGAGAAGGAGGCTGAGTACTACCACCTGCTTGGGACCCTATAATCAATAAAATTAAAACTAAACCCAAGCATACCACTGCAGAAGACCTCAAGACATAGTTCATTTTGCATAGATCGGACCATAAGCACTTAATAAAAAAGCTGAGGGTACTCTGGGTTTAACAATGACATCAGGACATCAGTCACCTCAGTCCCCCATGACCATGGGTACTGGAAAGCACCCGATACGTCGGGAATTAAAAATAAAAATAATTAAAATTAAAATTAAACGTGATAAAATCCGTAAAAGTAGTTAATCAATTTTAAAATGTTTTAAGCCTGTGGTGTATCAAACCAAATCTTAAGTGATTTATTGTAATAAATAGTTTCAAGGGTCAATCCTGCTAGGTTTTTTGAGATTCCACCAAATGGCTCGGGTCCAAATTGTGTACTCTTTGATCCATCCCGTGTGAGCTGGTCGGCAAGTTTATCGCTTGCAATATGACCATGGCCCCATGGCCATCATAAAACGACACCCCAAGGCGTTTAGACGATCCAACTAGTTTCGAGGTCACTAAGTTTGATCTCAGCGCTAGCAGTGCTGCTTGACTAATCAGAGTTTATAAAGATAATATGGTTGACGTATTTTTGCAGGTTGATTTTCGTTGTCCGTACACCGAAGTATGGCGAAAATTTCTGCCTGGAAGATAAAGGCGAATTTCCCGAAATTCCTACTAACCTTGATTTTTCACTCTCCATAAATTCCAAAGCCTCTTACAGAATGCTGTGAAACAACAAAATAATGCCGTGTTTTATTATATGGTGGGTGTAGAGAACCGGGGCCCTTTTTACTGGTAACACCGCTTTCCGTCTCAGTTCTCAGAAATATTCGATTCTTTCAAGGATACCTTGAAAATGAATCGTAATTTTGGGAGCGTGGCTTAGTTCATCGTTGATGAAGCTCACGATGATGCAATTACTTCATGTACGCAAATGAGATAGCTGTAATGAAAACGCGCATTTAAAAATAAGTTCATCGTTTAATAAGTTCATCTTAGATATTATTATTTATGTATTCTTTAAAAATAATTCCATGAAGTAATTCGTAAAAATATTGTGGTGGCATGGAGAAATGTAACTAATTAGTCTAAAAAAAATTTTCTATCGAGAAAATTACATGTTATCCTATTTTCCTTTTATGCCCTTCACGATCGCATAGTTAAAAAACATAATATACTTACTAAAAATTTAGTTCGTGATCAATAAAACTTAAAGAAATATGTGAAATAGAAGAACCGGCAAAATATTTACATTTACAACCTTAGTCGAGGATAGATTTAGAAATCTGACCTGTCTGATGGTGAGTCACAGCATCCACTTACCATCTATTGAACTGTGTGCTTGCTTGTTGCTTGTACCTTTATTTTAAAAATTACAGATAGCCTTAAGTATTTTAAGTTTGAATTGATTGTGCCTTTTGCGGCGTTGAATAATGATTGGTCGACTTTGATCGATTGTAATGTAATTGACTTTTATATTTAATGGCTTATGTGTGTTTAAAATTAATATATTATGCGTCTACAGGACTGCAGCGAATACAGTATATACGTTCGTGGACCGGCCTCGAACCTGCGCCGAGAACGCCCGTAACCCGACAGATACGGCGCTGGCACAGCTGTATGCGTACATCCAGGCCTTACCCGACTCCGCGCATAAGCGACGCTTAGTCAAACACTTCAATCGACAAAATGGTTACGGTAATTTAAGACTTAATACAATTATGCTAAATCCAAATTAAATTAAATTCTGTGTAAGAAATGCCAAATCTCGTATGTTACTACTAAAAAGTTATAAGATTTATTGCTTTAAAAAAAATTATATTGTATAATCGTTGGTGCGTCTGTTAGTGATTATGTTACTTCTGACTGATTGAGGTCATATTCACAGAATATATAGATATTGGTACAAATCGTAAACACAACCTTGACTTACGCGCTAGTAGATTTATAGGCGAAATACTCTTTGGTGAAGTACAAGGGTGCGGGATGGGCACAGTGAACATTCTTTCACGTGATTGGTTCGTCATTTAATCGTCTATTGAATATTCACGTGTCATTTGCTTGCAGGTTTATTGACTGGGAATTATACATGCGTAAATGTGTTCAAACTACTGTTCCTTTGTGCTCAGAACTCGTTATCGCTATTTTCTATATTTGTTTTTTTCAGACGATGGATCGTAGATATGTTAAGAAGCAATAGATGACGCTGTAGTCTAAGTTATTAACAAATTCTCTATTTATTGACTATCGACAACCAATTGACTGCCTCGTTGGTCTAGTGATTGTAGTAGTACGACTGCTGATCATGAGGTCCTGGGTTCGAATCTTGGGTCGGGCCAAAAAAAATCAATTATTGAGTTTTTCTGACAAGAAATTTCCAGTAGCAGCCCAGAGTCCGGAAGTTGGCGGTATCTCACCCCCGTGCCTCGGAAATCACGTAAAGCCGTTTGTCCTGCGCCTGATCTCTCTCCCGGTAGTGTCGGTTTACCGTCACATCGGATTACGAGAGTGAGGGAATAGAGTGCACACACTTGCGCATACATTTGGGTACTATCATCCTGTCCTGCGCCGATGGCTAGCCTCCGTTGAGGCGGGCCGTCGTGGCCGAAATTCTCTGGAGGTGGATGTCTGGAGGACATTATTTATGAGCGCCAGTCAGTGGCGGTATGAGAACATTCGAACCCGATATCCGATATCGTCCCATGGGTGTAAAAGGCGACAGAGGGAAGTTGAACAGGGCATGGGCAGCAGAATTTTCCTGATAAACAACTCAAAGTATAATAAAATATTGCAGTTGCTAACCCGCCTGGCAAATGTAGCAAATATTTAGTAGGCCAGTAGGAAAGGCCTATTTTCAGTAGTGGCCTTTAAATAGGCTATAATGATGATGATGATGATGGTATTTACAGATCAAATTTACTTTTATTCACTATATCTGTTGGATTAGCGCCAAAAAAGAAAACCACAAAATCCGAACTCGGTAGATGGCGCAGTGGTCGAATTTTTAGTTCGAAGTGAAACATAATGCGCCACCTATCAGCAAAGGCATAACAACTTCTACTGGATAGACTAGTAATAGTGCTTTTATTCACATTAATAAAATGAATTTCCGAGAAATATAATCCCCGATTGTTATGAACAAAGTAATACATAATTTAGGTGGTGAGTACTGGTAATGCAGAACATTGATAGTGCATGCACTTGACCGTTTTTTGTTCTATTAGGAACACCAATACAAATACAAAGGACTGGCAAAGTTGCCGGCTCTCGAAGTTTTGGCGATTCGATCAAACGGCACATCTTCAATAAAGGTCTGCTAAATAAAACCCCAAAGAAAGGATCCATGTCTGTCATCAATACAGTCGAAGAGGTAAGCTTATTTGGTACTAAACAACTGTCAGTTCATGATATGTAAATTCGTCTTTATTGTTGTTTCTGTGCCACTAAAGCATGTTCATGTTCAACTAACATTGCCTTGTACTGTCATTCATGTCTATAAAATTAAGGCTGTAATTGTTTTACGATGCTAAAATTATGATTTTCCTTAAGAATCGATTTTCATATAAGGCCCCGCATAAAAAATGAAGTCTTCTGTTGCCCCTATGTGCAAAACATTCGCACATTTCATACTGAACGGTCATTTTATTATTACCAGGCAAGCAGTTGAATAAATTTATATAAGCCTGTAGGAATTAAGCTCTAGTTTTTAAAATATCACTTGTGTGTGAATGTGAAGAAATTGTTAAAAATGATAAAAAAGTAAATTTATATTTGTGTCGCATGACCCACTCTATCATTTCGACAAATCAATATGAGTAAGAAGTATAGTTATTTAATTTTCATTAACGGGAGAAAATCCTCTTATCATAACGTAATATTGTTGTAGTACTGACCTATTATGAAATGGCCTAGCACGACGCAACACTAGTCCAAACTTGCTGGCGCGTTACAAATTACGATGATGAATGAAATGATACACTGAGTAGTTTAAAAAAATGATTTATTTTAAACTACTCAGTGGTAATTATGTTCGCCACTAACTTGTTTCTAAAGCTGAAAAAGTAGTCTCAAAAAGTAGAATTAAATTTTACTTTGTAAATTAAGTTCAAAACTGAAAGAAAAATGTATCTAAGAATAATTTTTGGTCATTCTCTGTAATTTTTAAATAAGATAATGTTTTCTCTATGGAAAATAAAGATACAAAGTTACCTCGGTTTTAGTTTTAGTTTTGTTCTCAATAGCGTTAGAATTCTCTAACAACCATTAATTATAAACAATCACTAAGAACTGATTATGAGCTGTCATTAAGGATTTTTTATAATTTGCTATAATTTACGAGATTGCAATTGAAATAGTTTTGGCGCGTACATCATTATAATAAAGATATTAATTAATTTGCAACCATCCCCTAACTAAATACAATGATGTGTCTTACCTGGATTAAAGAGCACCTCCCGCCCTCCCTCAATTGCGTGCAGCAATCCCGTCACCACTAATGCCAGCACCACTACTCCCCACACCACTACTCCCGGCACCACTACTCCCAACACCACTATTCTAGGAAAGACACACCATCGACGATAATACGACACGTGTTTCGCCTCAACACGAGGCATCCTCAGGTGATGTAGACTCTACGGCCGCTGACCGCGAAGTGCGACTTAGTGCGAGTATGCCTCGTGTAGAGGTGAAAAACGTGTTCTATTATCGTTGTATCTTTCCTAGAATAGTGGTGTTGGGAGTAGTGGTGCCGGGAGTAGTGGTGTGGGGAGTAGTGGTGCTGGGATTAGTGGTGACGGGATTGGTGCACGCAATTGAGGGAGGGCGGGAGGTGCTCTTTAATCCAGGTAAGACACATCATTGTATTTAGTTAGCGGAAGGTTGCAAATTAATTAATATCTTTATTATATATAATGGATTTCCGCAAAATAACGCCTGATTTTATCAATTAGCGTACATCATTTTTATTTCGCGAAATATACGGTCATCCATCTTAATCGAACTCGAACTCGGGTACATGCGTTTATTTTTTTAAAGTCATTTATATGCTTATTGGCAATCAGTCACAATTGCCCCGTTAAGGTGAATCCCTGACCAAAATGTTGCGAAAGTGCGTTTTTCAGACTCTATTATCTCATTAGTTATGAAAAATAAACTACATCTAAAAGTACATTATTAATGTTCGATATCTTATCATCGCATTCCACGTTCTAATTTATTTTTATGTGCTATAAATACATTTAAAATCAACTTTTAAAAAATGACTAAAATTCTTGATTACATGCATCTGTTGCTAAACGCAACGCTCTAATCATTTGAGGATAACACTAATGGATAGATAATTAAAAAATCTATATTCTCCACGTTTTATTTAAATTTTTAAGTTCGTTTTTTCTCTTTTAATTGAAATAATTCCGAAAATTGTGTGACTTCTATGATAAAGGGGCGTGCGCAGAGTGCGGGCGGCATTACGCTGTATGCGTTCATACGAGGTGGCCGCGTCGCTGGTCGCCGCGCGTCCGTATTTCGCCGCAAACATAATATTATTTGAGTACCTACCAACCGATGCGCTTACGTCACGGTATATTGTAACTCGGCCGTATCTTAGAAATAAATATTACAGCCGTGCGGTACGTAAACATGCGATAGGGATGCCTGCATCCAGCATTTTTACATTTGCCCATTGATTTATGTGTTTTATAACTCAATGCATTTTCCTACTTTGTGTTTCCATTTAGTTTTATGATTGTACTTAAATATAATTTTTTATATAAACAAATATATAATAGGTACTTTGTGAATTGAATAGGAAGTGTTCAATAAAAATGCGTGTCGTTTTATGATTGGTAGATTTAATTAAAAAACCATGTTTATTTTTGAATAACAAATCGGTCTTATAAATTTGCGGCCGAAAAATATTTGCGCCTCGGCTGAAACGTACGAAATGCTTTATTATTAAAATTTTAAATATAAAAAATCCGCATTATAATATAAAGCTTAATTAAAAATTGTTTTGGGAAACATGGACAAGTTGGAGTAAAGGAATATCTTTTACTTGGTTATAGATACCTGCAGCTACTTTACAATTTATATGTTTGGTTTTAAATGAAGTTTGGATTTATTATTTTTTTTATTTTTATTCTATTTTCTGAAAGGGTCCTAGGAAAGGAATTATCACTGCGTGTTGGCGAACTTTGCATGTCTTCGAAATATTTTTTTTCTTATTTCTCAGACATGCAGGTTTCCTCACAATGTTTTCCTTCACCACTGAGCACGTGGTAAATCAACACTTAAAATTGCAATTACAATATTATTGGTGCCGGCGGGGATCGAACCCGGTTTGCTCGCACACTGAAAATTTTAGCAAGCGCTAACCATCTGAGTTACCACGGCTCCTCTCCTCTCGAGCTACAGACTTTATTTTATTTATCGTCAGGCCTGTTGGTCTAGTGGTTAGTGACCCTGACTGCTATGCTGCAGGTCGTGGGTTCGATTCCCACCCAGGACAAATGTTTGTGTGATGAGCACGATCATTTGTTCTGTGTCTGGGTGTAATTTATCTATAATATTTATGTATTTAGAAATATATAAGTATGTTTATCAGTTGTCTAGTACCCATAACACAAGCTCTGCTTAGCTTGGGACTAGATGGCGTTGTGTGATAGTTGTGGAATATTATTATTATTATATTATTATTATTGGGGTATCTGTATAGTTTCTCATCTGGTTGGTTTTTATAAATATAAATTAAAATGAAAAGATAAATATACATAAATGTCAATAAAATAAAATAAATACAAAAAAATATACAAATAAATAAAGATCCAACCATATTAAATAAAAAATAGTCTCCTATCTTTCTCTCTATGTTTTGATCTCCTAAAACGATTTTGAGTTGGTAAAATCAAGGCAAACTTAGGGTAGGGTTGTCAATTTTAGGGTTTATATGCGCAAGCGTGAACGTAGTTTGAACATAATATAACCTTTATGTTTTACATAAATATCCTAAAAAACTTATTATTTTAATATTTTACTAAGTACCTATAAAATTAACAAGTTTATTGCATTTTTATTTGAGTAATTTTTTATGCAATTTCTTTATCTACGTCTATTTTTAGGAACCTTTATTTAGTCTGAATCATACATAACACTATATTACTGATTTACTTACTTATACGTAGTTTTCTTTTTTGCAGTTACAAATATCTTGTGAGGTTGAAAAAGGCAGTAATGAAAAAATAATAAGAATAATAATAATTGACGTCAGCCACTTCTTTTCATAAAAATTTCAGCGAACCACAACTTATAATAATAATAATAACAGTAATAATATAATATTATTTTGTATTTATTTTATTTTATTGATATTTATGTATATTTATCTTTTCATTTTAATTTATAATTTTTATATATTTAAATATTTATATAACCGAACCAGATGAGAAAATTATACGGCTCCAACGATTTTAGCGACGAACGCTTGGATTTATTTTCAGAAAATGTCCTTTTGTCCATGTTTTCAGGTAATAAAAAAACTGCTACAATATAAGAAGGTAAATTTCGACAAATCACTAACGGTCGTTATAGCTCAGGTGGTATGTCGGTCGGGCGTGATATCGGAGTTCCGTGGTTCGCGTCTTGGCTTTGGTCCCGCTTTTTTTCCCTTTTTTTTTCAAGTTCCCTTCTTTTGTGATAAAATCTATTATTTCAAACCCTTTTTTTTAGTAATTTTTAAAAATACGAAAATTTTAATTTTAAAAATTTAAAAAAAATATCTATTTAGTTACTAATGCTATATTTATTATTTTAATAATTACCTACCCAGTAGGTAAATATTAAAATAATAAATGTAGCATTATAAACAGTAAATCTCCCTCAAACTCAATTTACTAATATTGTTCCTAAATAAGGAATAGCAGATAAAAGATTAGTAGGTAATAACTATTGCTCCTCAAAATTATATTTGACCTCAAGGGAAAACATATCCTAAAATTCAGTAGCTAAATAAAATAATAATACCTACTATTCAAGTATATTTTCAAAATGTAAGTAAATGAAAATAACAAAAATGAAGCACCATTAGCATGTAAAGTTCGAATCCATAATTAATATTTCGACAAATATTATAATTTACACTATAAAAAGCTAATTCAATATTAGCAGTATAGTATATAGTTAAAAATAATCAAAATAGTCTTTTTTATTAATTAGATAATATATTAGAATACATAATTCTAATATAATGCAACTAATATATCGAATAAAGAAAATTAAAATACATTTATCATTGTACGCCGTGTCTATTTCCATAGAATAGTTCATTGACATCGAAAAAATAATACTACGTTCGTAGTAGTAGGTGGCGTCTTTTGGCGATTTCTTACGCGATATATTGTAGCGAACTTCGACAGACCAAACGCTCAAGGTCGTTCGCTGGAGGTAGCGCCTTAAGTTAGGGCCTTGTAGACGCTCTTAAGCACAGAGTTGTGGTGGGAGATCATCTAAACTCATTCCATCATTTTTTATTTCAAAACTAGTAATATAATCTATTATAGCATCGTAATATAATGCAGCCTTAATCCTTCTAAAGTTTCCATAACTTTCTTGTCATGTGCTAATAGCATGCGTTATTTACAGAAGTCGTGCAAAGGGAAACTGAGATATTCCGATGACAGTAAAGTCGATGTCACTCACAAAAATATTGTATTAAAGAATTTAGCGAACAAAATAGCTAGCACTGAATCGTTGGATGAGAATGAAGATTACGAATCGGACGCCAGCAATGAGAGCACATTGTCTGATGGTGCGCTAAATCGGTCCAGAAAGTTAAGTCCGAAATTCGTCTCCGAACCCAATTTGAGTATAATAGATCCGAGTGATGAGACACCGAAGAATACCAAAAAACGTGGGAATAGATTGTTCCGTTCCAAAATAGTGACGGCATCGCAAACTTTGAACAAGAAATACCAAAAACGTAGTACAGTATTACGCGGTACGCCGACATCATGTGTCTCTTGTTTGGACGATCAAGATACGGGTTCGGAAAACGAAACATGTGGCGATAGCGAAAGATGTCCTGATTTCGAAACGCCAATTAAACCTAAACTCACCTCGGAGGACTTAGAGTTCAAAATGCATTATCTAACTAGTACACCGGGATTAGCGGAAGCGGTTATTGATGAGGATTGCAATACACCTTATACAATTAACTTTAGAAGAGCCTCTATGTCCCCTATAACAAAGTCTACGCAGAAACTTTCTAAGGCTATGCAGGTCTGTGATTATTGTGTTTGGGCTTTATATAAATAGGTACTAACTTCATTTCTTAGATCTTTGTTTCATGTATGGTATTGTAAGCATGTATCAAGCGTTTGTCTCGGCTTGTAAGTTCATTTCCTAGTTGAAAAATCTATTGGAGCCTTATAAGCATGTATTGGTTTTTACACTTTTATAAAATTTGTGTTAAGTAGAAGTTTTGCTATTTTCAGGCTGCTTCGCTGGGTGTAAATAATATAATAATAATAATAATTGTTATTACTAAAGTTTGATAAGTTTTATTAATTAATAAAGGTTTTATTAAATAGTAGAGCCATACTGAAGCAATATTAGTAGTATAGTTGTAGCACGAATGGGTCGGCTCGTACTGGGAAGGACCACGCTCTCACAGAATACCAGCGTAAATTAGCAGCTGGTGACGCTGCTGTGTTTCGTATGGTAAGTGTAGATAACTGGAGACCCTTATTACTGGAAAAGAGGCATTTCATCTTAGTCCTCACGGGTGACAACGCATTTGCATTTTAATCGAGAATAGATGTAGATGTCTATAGGCCCAAGCAACCACTTACCATCAGGTGGACTGTGTGCTCGTTTGTCACCCTTCTCTTATAAAAAAAGTTCATAATTATTATTAATAAAGTTTAGTTTAGTGATTTTATAGTAGTAATAGCTATCAGAGTTTGATCAACGACGGCACCACGGAAATTATTATTTGCAATTTTGATTTTTGGTTTATAATATTAAGACGGTGAAGGCTAATAATAAATGGCAACATAAAATTCAAGTTGCATTTGCGATCTTAGAGTCCGTTGTCTTGTTTTTTTTTATCTTAATCAGTTTTTTGTGCACATTAGTTTTGGCTTTGCATAAAATAATTCAGATGGACGTATGACCTTGGTCCCTTGGGTGAATGGAATATTCCTTGTTTGGGATGGTACGTGCTTAGTTTACACCAATAGACCCTTTTTTTTTTGCGGATGGAAAATCATCTAATGACGCCTTTCGCTCTGGGTGGAGCGTAAGGGAGTGTCAGACTTTTACTGACTAAAAACCATCCGTGTTCCTTCAGTGCCCTTACGTTTCGGAGCCGCGGTATCTCTTTCGAACAGCCCGCAGCCCCGGCAGGCGTCGGCCCTTGCGGGCCCCCTCACGCTGCTGACAGCTCTTTAAGGCGCGCGTGGAACAAAACGCGCCGTCGACACGGCCTGTCGTCGTTAGACGGACGGACGGCGAGCTACCCATTGCTCGCCGTCCACAGGCTCGCGCCTACGGTGGCCGGGGGCCACGACGTAGCCCCCCGACGCCCGGGGCGTCTCCCCGCGGAGGCCGGGGAGTAAAGCTGCTGCTCTCTCCTTCTCCCGCTCCGCCACCTCCTTCGCTAGCATCACTGCTTCGCAGAAGGTGGTGACGGCATCCCATTCCGTCTCGCTCCGGACCATGACTTCGACCAGGGCCGGACGCGAGAGGTCGCCGCCGCACACCAATAGACCCTTGCGATTTCATATTTTAGGGTCATCTTGCTTATGCCCAGGCCGTACACAGCGATATAGTATTTCGGCTATAAAACTTCGCTTTCAGTCTATGGCAAAAGTGTGAAGCCATATTGCGTGTTGTAAAGTTTATCGATGGTTTATCGAGATAAACACACGCTAAACACAGGCACTCTATATTATATGCAGCGAATAATTATTTTTTATTATTGTGTCAGTGAAAAATTAAAGTCGCTAAGGCCTAACATACTAGGGCTGAATCTAAGTGACAGGGTGAGAAACTGTGTGATAAAAGAAGAGTGTGGTTTGCAAGATGATGCGGTGACCAGGATTAAGAAAGGAATGCTTCGGTGGTTTGGTCATGTAGAAAGAATGAATGAGGAAAGACTGACAAAGCAAATATATGTTGCAGAAATGAATGGAAGAGTCGGAAAGGGCGCGAAAGTTTGTGTGGCGATATAATAAAAATGGGCCAAATTAAGAGTATCATTTCGACAACCCTTAACAGACGAGCATGTATTCGTAGGTATATGGATGTGGGAGAGGCGAGAGAGGTATGTCAGGATTGTGCTAAATGGAAGTCTGTAGTCTCTGCCTACCCCTCCGGGTGACAGGCGTGAGTGTTTATGTTATTATGAAAAATTAAGAAGTAAGCAAGAAAAAGGCGACAGTTTATGATAACTATTCATAAATCAAGAACTAAGTAAGAGTTTTTAGTGTTTACTTTTTATTTTATTTTTAATTTACTTTAATGCTTCCGATATGCAAGATGTCTGTGGGCTGACTGAAGTGTGGCCGCAGAAACGAATTTCATCGCGATTAAACGCTTTGATGTGCGAGAGTTTACCAACAGTGAAGCGATGAGCTTGCGACTTCGCACGAAGTGTTCACGAATATTTGGTTACATACATCGCGATAATACCAATATTCGAGCGTGTGTGTGAGTACGGCCTAGGTATTAGGGTACTGGGGCTACGGTGGTATCAGAGGCGATGAATTGAGTAAATGGCGCAAATGAGTCACTGAAAGATGGCTACATATTTGTGCCATTTGCGTTAGAGGTTTCTAAGGAAACTAAATCCTCGATTGCAGTGCGATTGTGTAACTCTGGTGAGAGTTGTTATTGTTATTGTTACAATTGGTGAATTAGGACAGGCAAAGGTCTTAGACCGTACAGGCTAGTCTGACGTCTCTTCAAAAAACTTTAAAATATGCTGATGTCACATTGTTTTGTGAAATTTTGAGCTTTTGCGTCAGCTTTATCCAAAAGGAGCAGTTGATGACGATTGTATTTATAGGTTTAAGTGATTAAAAAACTTCATCAATCCCTATCGAAGCACTTGTTAACAACCTTTTCACTAATAGTTCACATAAATAGACATTTTATACACAAAATAGCACCACTTTTACTTATCAAAATCCACTTAAAACTATTACCCAAATGCTAAATAGAGCAGCAATCCCCGGTGGTCAAGTTCCCGCCAAACCGTGCGTCGTTTTGACGTTTTCCGTTTCATTCCATTGTATCGTGTAAATGTATTAGTATCGATTATAAGCCGATGTCTTTTTCCTTCTTTTTTTTGTTTTTGATATCTTTATTTAGGCTACAAAAGATTATTATAATGAAAAAAAAAAAAAAAACAGTTGTGCAGTTATTCTTACCGGCAAACGATTTCTATCAGAGTTAAACGATTGCACCGCTAGTTTTTGCTTCTGGGCCTGACAAAACTGTTGCTTTTCGTATTCAAATGCTAAACATCGTAATACGGCGAGGATACGTATCCAGCACTCTTGGCACTTTACCGCGAGGCACAGTATGAGAATTTTAAATTTTTTATTGATGTATATATTATATTATATATGTATATGATAATTGTAGAAGTGGGGTATAGATAGACTAATTTTGTATAGCACTCATTGAGTTTTCTGATTTATTTGGTTTTGAAATGAATATTAATTATTGGATGAGCCATGGACGTAACATATAACATTTTAAATAACGCTGGAGAGTAAGTAATTCGAAGTTATTTATATCATGATTAAAATTTGCATTACAAATTTCTGTAACTATATCTCGAGCACTGGAGTGCTTAGAAATTATAATTTTGGTTTCAAATATTGTTTCAATGTATAAAATATAAAATACCATAAGTATTCATTATTATATACTAAATACTTTCAATTTTATTATAGATTTAAGTTATCCACAATATTTTCTGTCTTATATGTTGAGTGTTTGTTTGTGTGATCACCATAATATGCAGCCTATGAAACCTCGAACATGGAGGTTAATTTGACGACATCCCGTATTTCAAAACTGTAGATGCACTAAGCCAATACGAATTTATAACCGATAAAAGTAACCCTCGTTGACGTAACGCAGTTGAACCCGCGAGGATTAAACTCTAGATGCTTCCGTACTATGAAAATTAAGTTGAGCGCTGAGCCTCTGTGCTTTATTATGATAATAATAACTTAAAAAATTATACTGATTATTAATTTGTCATACAATGATACGGAAAATTTGCTGATTGTTTTAAGTTAATTTATGATAATAAATTTTAAATTAACACTAAAAGTTGGAATGTTATTCATTTTATATAATAAAAAAATATTTGTTTGTCTATCTTTAGCACATACACCTGAGATAGAGGTTTATCCTAGTTCAGGTTTTTGTAGACTATTTTTAAAATAAGACATTGTTTAAATTAACCGTAAAGTTTATTGGAATAAAAATAAAATAAAATAATTCTTGATAGGAATCAATAATGACGCCACGTTCGAGAAAGCCTTTAATAATAACATCGGAGCAACGCGACAGCCTTCCGGAGAGCAACAAAGAAGAGAAGATTGAACCAGTGTCGTTCCATTCCGTTTCGCCTAAGAACGACAGCGACTTTGTGTCGTCAGATGACGATGTCATGTCGCGATCGCCAATTTCTTGCGACAGGTAAGCTAAATTGCGTAATGATTTAAGCGACATCTTTAGCCGAGGCGTCATCTCCACCCTTAAGTTAGTTAAAGTAATTTTTTGCATGTGTTTATACGTGGTAGAGCCATGCTGCAGTTATATTAGTAGTATAGTTGTAGCACGAATGGGTCGGCTCGACCGGGGAAGGACCACGCTCTCACAGAATACCAGCGTGAAATAGTAGCTTAATGCTGCTGTGTTTCGTATGGTGAGTGTAGAGAACCGGAGACCCTTTTTACTGGAAACGGGGCATTCTATCTTAGTCGTGACGGGTGATTCGTAATCTAGGATAGATGTAGATGTCTATGGGCCGCAGCAATCAGGTGGACTGTGTGCTCGTTTGTCACCCTTTCCTATAAAAAAAATGTTATTCTTCCTTAATTTCTCAGAAATTACTCCTCATACATTTCCTCCAAAACCAAAACCAAGGTGTTGATGGGAGACTTCAACGCAAAACTGGGCACAAAAAGAAAGCGGTGAGCTGAAGGTGGGGAAATTTGGAGTAGGGCAACGGAACCGAAGGGGCCAGCAGCTGGCTCTTTATGATGAACTCTTTCTTCCAGAAGCGGCCCCACAGGAAGTGGACCTGGTCGAGCCCCGACGGTTCGACAAAAAATGAGATTGAGTTCATTATGAAGACCAGACGCCAACTGTTCAGTGATGTCTCAGTGATCGCAGGGGTGAAAACTGGCAGCGATCACCGAATGGTTAGAGGCACACTGAACCTAAACGTTAAGTTGGAGAGGTCTCGTCTAATGAAGTCAACGCTCCGTCCCCCTCGTGCTCTAATCCAGAATCCCGAAACCTTTCAGCTCGAGTTACAAAATCGCTTTCAGTGCCTAGAGGATTGCAATGCAGTGGACGATATGAATGACAAGCTCGTGGAAACTGTCCATGCGGTCGGAGCTAAGTTCTGCAAGACCCGCCGCAGAAGAACACAAAAACTCTCCGATCACATTCTTAATCTCATGGCTGTTAGACGGGAGATGAGGCTGCAATCGTCAACAGATTTGACAGCATACAGGCAGCTGAACAGACAGATCTCCAAATGCATGCGGCGAGACTTACGCAACTTTAATACTGCTCGTATTAAAGAAGCGATCGAGCGGAACCAGGGCTCCAAAGTCTTTGCCAGAGATCTGTCTGCCAGAAGGAGCCAACTGTCAAGGCTGAAGACTGAGTGTGGCAACATCGTTTCCGGGACACCTGAGATTCTGAGTGAGATTGAGAGGTTCTATGGGCAGCTGTACACATCATCGTTGGAGCCACACGCAAGTGTGAGTAACGATCCAAGAGCAAGTCTTATCCGACACTATTCCGATGATATCCCGGACGTCAGTCTGAGCGAGATTAGAATGGCTCTCCACCACCTTAAAAACGGCAAGGCCCCGGGCGAGGATGGAATTACAGCGGAGCTTCTGAAAGCGGGTGGAACACCGGTACTTGAAGTCCTTCAGAAGCTCTTCAATTCCGTCCTCCATGGTGGCATTACTCCGGAGGCGTGGAGCAGAAGCGCGGTGGTCTTGTTCTTTAAGAAAGGCGACAACGCTCTCTTGAAGAACTACAGACCGATTTCCCTTCTGAGCTACGTCTACGTGCTGATTTCGAGAGTCATTACGAATAGTCTCGCACGCAGACTCGACGACTTCCAGCCTCCCGAACAAGCCGGTTTCCGAAAAAGGCTTCAGTACCATAGACCACATACATACCCTTCGGCAAATTGTACAGAAGTCCGAAGAGTACAATCTGCCACTTTGCCTGGCGTATGTGGACTATGAGAAAGCCTTTGATTCCGTCGAAATTTGGGCGGTGCTACAGTCTCTTCAGCGGTGCCTAGTTGATTGTCGGTATATTGAAGTGCTGAAGTGTTTGTACAGTAGGGCTACGATGGCTATCCGAGTACAGAACCAGAGTACGAAACCTATCCAACTGCAGAGAGGTGTAAGACAGGGTGATGTTATATCCCCGAAACTCTTCACCGCTGCGTTGGAAGACATTTTCAAGCTACTGGACTGGAAAGGATACGGTATTAACATCATTGGCGAGTACATCACTCACCTTCGATTTGCCGACGATATAGTCCTTATGGCAGAGTCGCTGGAGGACCTTAGCACTATGCTCAATGACCTCAATGGTGTCTCCCAACGGATAGGTCTTAAGATGAACATGGACAAAACAAAGATCATGTTTAATGTCCATGTCACACCTATGCCGGTAATTGTTGGGAGCACTATGCTCGAAGTTGTTGACGAGTACGTTTACCTGGGACAAATAGTCCGACTAGGTAAGTCCAACTTCGACCGAGAGGTCAATCGACGGATTCAACTCGGCTGGGCAGCGTTCGGGAAATTACGACACATCTTCTCATCAGGTATACCTCAATCTCTGAAAACTAAAGTGTACAACAAGTGCGTGTTGCCAGTGATGACTTACGGATCTGCGACGTGGTCCTTCACCGCTGGCCGTATGAGGACGCTCAAGGTCGCTCAGCGAGCTATGGAGAGGGCTATGCTCGGAGTCTCACTGCGTGATGGACTCAGAAATGAGGATATCCGCAGTGAAACCTGAGTGACCGATATAGCCCAACGGATTAGTAAGCTGAAGTGGCAATGGGCCGGCCATATAGCTCGAAGAACCGATAACCGATGGGGAAGAAAGGTTCTCGAGTGGCAGCCTCGTACCGGTAGGCGTAGTGTAGGGCGACCCCCCACTAGATGGAGTGACGACCTGGTAAGACATGCAGGAAGTCGATGGATGCAGGTGGCTCAGGACCGTGCTTTGTGGCATTACTTGGGGGAGGCCTATGTTCAGCAGTGGACTTGTGAAGGGGTGTAATGATGATAAAGGATTTTATCAATACGTGTATCTACCATCACTCAGATTGTCGAAAAAGTAGGGTCTTCAAGGTGACGGAGATGAAGAAAGCAGATGTCATTGCGGACGTACATACAGACTCCGGCACGCAGATAGAATTTGTGCTCCAGGGAGAATCCAGGATAGTCGAGGTACGCCGTATTCAATGGACATCCGAATTGGTTCTCCGTCAAGAAAAGTAGGTGCGGCTTCTCAGTCTCAAGATGGTGATGGACTGCACTGAGATTAGAGTGCAGTCCTCGCATATATATATAGTGAGGTGCACTTTTAACGATAAGACGTGCAACTGCTGTTTGGCCATTCTTTTCTTTTTAAGATACATGTGAAGAGTTAAGAATGAATAGGGATCGAGAATGACAGTTAAACGAGGCGTTGCATTAGCAACCAAACTATACTATTACAACGATACCAGAGCTACTGCGCCCATGAGAAATTGATCTGGAGACTGCGGAGACGCCCCTCCCCCCACGGAGATCGCCATCGGGTCCTCTCGCTCGGATTTTTCGCTAGTTGTAGGGGCAGCCTTTCATGAGTAGATAATTCACTAATTGGGCCCCCAACTACTTGCGGTCGGCCAGTGGAACGCCGAGCTTCGGATTCCGCTACCTTCCACGATTAACCACCCGACACAGCAATAACTGACGCTTCGCAACCGGTTCACCCACACACAACGCTACTGTTCAGACCCATTCTCCATATGGCTTCACTTTCTAGTTAGTAAAAATGTTAAAGATAATTGCAACAAAGACTATGATAAGTTGTTTCCCATTTGTAAAATTATTCCCATAGATAAAAAATAGATTATTTGGTAGGTACCTGGAATAATATTATAATGATGAATATAAATTTAATGTTAAAAACAAGTACAACACACATAGGGTTAGAGAAAACAAACTGGTTCAACCAAAAATAACAAACTATTATGGTAGGAGAACATCTAAGTATTTGGTAGCTAAAGTGTTTAACAAAATAGATCTATTAAGAGAAAAAGTTAAAATTAGTAAAAGATCACTTACTAGAAAAATAAAAAACATTATACAGGAAGGCTAATAGACTAATACGATTCATTTTAGTATATAGTAAACCATAACAATATAATATATAATTATTAGGTACTTAATTTATATAAATAAAGTTAAATACATATAAGATTATAAAGTTAACATAACAACAACATTTCATAGGTTTATATATTACTGTATTATCTATATAATTGTGTCCAATATTAGGAGTACATAAGCTATGTAAAAGAGCGCCTCTCGTCATAAAGTAAAGTAGAGTAGAATTACTCAAACATTTCATAGGTTTATATATTACTGTATTATCTATATAATTGTGTCCAATATTAGGAGTACATAAGCTATGTAAAAGAGCGCCCGTCATCAAACGTAAAAGTTTAGCGAGTTTAGAATTAAGTTACACCACTGTATTATAATTCTAAAAAATCAGGGAAATGAATAGCTTTGCCTTTAAAATAACAGAATACTAACCACCTGAATTTTGGGCCCTTTACCCAACTTTTAGGCCCTTTATTCATAGAACTGAATTGAATTCCAATAAGACCAAATATTTATAAATAATAAATTAAAAAAAAGCATCATGCCGGAACACGACAACGTCATTTGCCGACAAGACTTTGTATTGGTGGGTGGTAACCGAAAAGCCAGCGACCGAAACCTACTACTGGAATTGGTGCTGCTCGTTTAGCACTGCCCAGGCGTCACGTGTAGGGAGTCAGATTTCAAGTATTTCCTACGGACGCGAGCAGCCTCGTCCCCCATCATTCTCACCAACAAAACACTAAATCCTACACTAAAATCCTAGTTTAGAGCAGTCCGTCACGGTGTCCCAGTTGCCTCAATTTATATAATAATAAAGATTATTATTATTATTACTAAAGTTGTCAATTATAAAAACTTTATTTAAAAAAGAGAGAAATGATGATATTCTAAATTATCCTCCAATCACTCTTGATACCTATTCTGGCAAAAAACTTTGAAAAATGTATTATGTTTTTAAGAACAGCCGATCGAAATAGTCGTGAGAAATACTTGATAATTAAAAGTAAACAATACGGCTTTCAAAATACAAATCGATCTCATTTGCCATGTTTTCGTTAGTAAAACTAGTACTTTAACATAGACAATATATAAATGACAACGGAATTATTTTTTGACTTCAAAAAAATCTTTGATTTTCTTTCACATGATATATTATTGCAAAAATTAGAGACAGTTGGGGTCAGGGGACTAGTACTTCAGTGATTATCGTCATATTGAAATTGAAAAGACAGACAACTTGACATCTTATTCATCTGGATATAAATATGTAATAAATCCAGCGTTTCCAAGGAATACCGAGTGCTTTTCTATTATATATTAATGACATTGTTGACATTACGAATCATAAATGTATTCTGTAGGTTGTTGAAATTACAATTATTGTGACTTATAACAAAAATAAAAATATAATTAGAAATCATGAAGATGACATTAATAATACAATTGACTCACTAATAGACTGGCTTCACATAAATAGTTTGAAAATTGTTCTGTATAGATCTCATTATACAAAATTTAATGAATATATTATTTTAAATCATAATGTTAAATTGAATATGAACCGATGTCTCATAGTTTCTGGGAATAACTTTAGATGAAGATATAAACTGGAAACTGCAAAACTGAAAACTTGAAAGAACATATAAATAACGTATGCAGCCGAATTAATAAACTTGTACGCTATGGTATTATAATATGGGGTAATGGTAACCGTAATAGAGCATTTGTTGCAAAAAAAATATTTGTGCAATATAATATATTAAAACCCTTTAAAGTCCCGTCATTGTTTATCAAAGCAACTGATATAATATATTCCCGAAACTTACGTGACCCAGACAAACTAGTCCTAGATGTCATTCCTAGGCTCATTAAATACAGCAAAAATTGCCTAAATATGTGTGTGAAAATATTTAATAAGCTATAAAAATCTTTCGCTTAATAATTGAAATAAACTATTAAGTGAAAGATTATACTAGGTCTTTACCTATGAAATTTCCATTTTATATGAAATATGTTGACGTATATTTTTTTTCTATATTTTTTATTTCTATTAATCAAATTACCCATGCAATCGATACATCTTCGCCAACGCAGTGGCGGTTTATTGATGCTCTTCTTGATGAAATTAGCTGGGCAGGACGCAAAAAATTCTTCAAAGGCATTTTGTACTGTCTCTCGGGTATTGAATTTTTTTCAGACAAAAGTTAACCAAATTCTGGAAAAAGTAGAAGTGTGTAGGAGCAAGGTCTGGTGAGTACGGCGGATGAGGGAGAGTTTCCAACCCCAGCTCTTTTAACTTGGAGACCGTCTGTTGTTGAGTATGGGCAGGTCGCGGGTTGTCGTGCAGGAGCAGCGGGGAACATCGATTGACCAAAGCTACGACGAGGAAACGTGCGAGCTTCTCCATCATTGTGTTCAGTTCTTCACAGTACACATCTGCAGTAATGCTCATCTCTTTTAGTAGAAATATGTGATGAATCACACCGGCGCTAGACCACCAAACAGTGACTATCACTTTTCTAGGGGTAAGTTTTCGTTTAGGTTAGGTGCTGAACCATCCTACTAACGTACAATCATCATTGCGGTTCAAAATTCCTTCGTTTGAGTAACTGTTGTACAGTGCAAAGCACGTCTCGATGTGTAGTACTTCGCGGTGGTGATCATTCTGTATATGCGGCACCCATTTGTCAAGCTTTTTTGCCTTGCCAATTTGACGCAAATGGACCAATATTGTTTTGATGCTAACGTCGGATGCTGCTGCTAATTCAGCCGTAGATTGAGTATCATCAGATTCCACAATCGCCTTTAATTCCATCCCAGACCAAGGGGTTCATTTTTCAGGTCTAAATTTCTATAACGGAAGTGGAGAAACAAATAACAGGTGGTGCGTTCGTTTGTAGTATTCGCTCCGTAAATGTCGTTGATGTTAAGCGGGCTACATACGACACGATATCGGTGGCGATCTAGGGTGGAGTAGTGGGGATGCCTCCTAGATTGCCTCTAAATCGTGTCGTATGTAGGGCCATTCTAAGTCGTGGCCGATATCGCCTCCTTAATCGGCTGGCAGGAGCAAAAATGCTTCCTAGATCAGCCGATGCTTCCTAGATCGGGGCACCGCCCCCTCCTTACTGCGTGTGTGTAGGCGCATCGGCCCGATTTCTATTGGCAGTCGCTGCCGGCAACCCTCGCGGAAGGAAGTTAACAAAACAGTGATACTGAATGACCTTTTTTTATATAACAAAATTTTTACATTTTAATCATATAAACGGAGTAGAAGCCTATGGCACTGATATTTTACAAAAAACCAAAAAAAGTGAATAAAATAATAAATTAATTGAAACTTTATCGAAATTCAAATCATATCCACCCTAGCCTGTGACCCTGCGAAGTGACATGGTCAAGAATGCCTACTAAACTAATTTTTTTATTGCCGTTCGTAAAGTAGAGTGTATGATGTAAGTTAGGAGAAGATAAAGCCTCTCCTCAACAACTAACTCCTATTCCAACGCTATCAACACAAGACCGCACTCATATCTCTTACAACTCCACAAGACCACACTTCGATCTCTTACGTGCCTTCATCCTCTTATCAACAACTAACTTCTACTCCTTCACCATCTCCACATCAACAAACAAGTTATATAAAAGGGAGTATGTCCGAAATTAAAGGTTTCTTTATGTTTAAAAAAAGATATAAGCTATTTTATTTTCTGATAGTTTTACTCCATAAATAAAGATTACATTAAAAAAAAAGTATACATATTATTATACAAAAGTATTTTATTTCCTTGTTTGTTGTGTGTAATACATAACCAGATTTTGACCAAAGCAGAAATGAACAAAGAGAAGAAATAACTAAATAGCATAGGTAGGAGAAATTGACGTTTTTATATAAGTGGCGAAATCATTTCTAGAAGGTTATAAAAACTGTCTTCATCCATCCGGAGAAAATTAATCACGTCCTTGGATTACAGGCCATTTAGTACGTTTATGTGGCTTAATTTTTATCTCTTTTGGAGCCATTTTTTCACCCAGCAACTTCTCTTTTTCTATTTTCGAATAAATTAACCGAGATGGCTAATGCCAAACCAACACGGTGGTGTTTTAAGAGAGTCGGAGGTATTTTGAAGAACTCTACCGCATATGCATTCCGCTCCAAGTCCGAACGCGTACTGCTAGGCAGGCCCGTGTGTAAGGTCTACCCCGATAAAAGCCCCGATTTCTGTCCACCCTAGATCGCCACCGATATCGTCTCGTATGCAGCCCGCTTTACGTGCCGCTTGTATACATTCATATATCATATTTCATAAATACTCACATTTTCAACATATCCATGACGACGAAAAAGATACAAATGCGATGAAAGCAATAATAAGTAAACAAATGATTAAAATTAATTTCAAATTAAAATTCTAAGCCAAACAAATTATTTTGATTTGAAATGGCCAGTACCGCAGATCGGTAATATCATACGTAAAGAACTATTATAAGAAACATTTGTATAATTGGTTATAAACTAAATGCTTTTATGACTTAAAGATTTTTTATACATCCTTAATTAATATTAATATTGTCATAGGTTAACAGTTACAAATTATAATTTGCATGCTATGCACTATTGTCAGCGAAACACGACTGCACTGTATAAATTGAACATCTTATACCGTTAGTTACAGCCTATGTACGTCCCACTGTTGGGCATAGACCTCTCATTTCTGAGAGGGTTTAGTTAGCATTGACTGTTGACGAATTTCACATAACTTCGAAAAAATTTATTGTTATTTCTCAGACATACAGGTTTCTTCATGATGTTTTCCTTCACCGCCGAGCACATGGTAAATCATCACTTCAAATTACAATTATCAATTTCATTGGTGCCGGCGGGATCGAGTCCGGGTTACTCGCGTACTGTGAAATTTACAGCGAGCGCTAACCATCTGAGCTACTATGGCTCTCTTATACCGTCATCTTCATCATCATTACAGCCCTCCACAAGTCCACTGCTGAACATAGGACTCCCCCAAGGAATACCATAAAGCACGGTCCTGAGCCACCTGCATCCATCGACTTTCTGCATGTCTTACCAGGTCGTAATCTCTTATATCGTAATTCTTGCTAATAAAGGTTTACGATATTTGATTTAAAAAAACTTAGGATGTCTAAAAAATTAGCCATAAAACTTAATAATCAAGCTTGTAATAAAATGTTTATTACATACAAAATTAAAATATTACATTAAAATTTTTCAGGTCCGGCCATTCAGCCAGCGTGTCGCTGTCTAGAAACAAAATACCATTTGATACTCGTTCCGGTTCTGTTGGTGATGTTAGTCCCTTACGCTCTGAAAACACTCGATTTATAATAAGCCACGAGAGGCGTAACATTATAGCTCAGGATTTGAACACTACGTTATGCGGTAGTGACGATGGTCTCCTAATCCCGAAATTTAAAACCTCGCACGAGATGACGTGTTTTATCGAGAAATCGAAATCGTTATCGGAACCATTCAGAGAGTATCTATTAGGCAGATCTGTCCTAACGGCAACTCCGATCGATTTGTCTATTCTAAATAAATCGAGTGACGCTGATCAGAGGATAAGCGATTCATTAATGTATTGCTTAGATGGTAACGTGCCATCCGATTTAACTGCGTCGATTAGTAATTTAGCAGTAAATTCAAATAGTGGCCGATCTCCATTAAAAGATATAAACCACTTTATAGGTACAGAATTGAGTCCAAAGAGAAAAAGATGCGCTTCCATAGATGATATGGCGACCGGTAGTAAAAAAGCAATGGTCGAAAAGGAAAATTATAATTCGGACAAACCGGTTTTCGAATTACGCGAGACCGATCTATAGGATTGTTACCAAATGAACAAAGACGTATTTTTAATAAATATAATCCGCGCGCGATTTGAATGGGATTGAACCTTGTCGGAAGCTAGATGATAATGATAGTTTAAGTGAAGTAGAGTTAGCAAGGAAGTTTCAAATATTTAACATATATTTATATGTTCGAATCACTAGATTTCTAAGCTAATTGTGTTATTAGCTACAATGCTTTAGAAGACCGACTTCGTTCTTGTTCCAAATATTTATTAACTGATAGAATCTATTCCCCAAAATGTTACCCTACTTTCGACTTACACATTATTTTCGACACAATAACATAAATCGCAAAAATAACAATGAATCAAAATAAATACGATCAAAAATCCACTTCTAATAATAATGTCCTCCAGACCGAATTACGGTCACGGCGGCCAGTCTCAACGGAAACTTGTCATCTGCGCAGGACAGAATAATTATAGTGCCTAAGTGTATGGAAGCACAGGTGTACTCTATTCCTTTACTCTCATAGTCCCTGTCCTGTCCCATGGGACAGTAATTCGACGCGACCGGAGAGCGATCAGGCGCAAGACCGGCTTCACGTGCTTTTACGAGGCACGGGGTGAAACACAGCCAACTTTCTAACTCTGGTCTGCTTCTGAGAATTTCTTGACAGAAAAACCCAATTACTGGCGTACTCATGATCAGCAATCGTGTTTACTACCACTAGACCAACGATGTAGTCGGCCACTTCTAACAAACGCGATCATCGTCATGACGCCTCAGTTCAAAAGGTCGTATCCCATTCTGAAAGCGCGCAGAATATACGATAGGCAATATTGCCATATAATATTTTTATAAGAAATAAAGTGAATTTTATCGATATCACAAAGTATTGTGTACGCATTCGTTTTTTAAAGCATTTATTTAATTATATACTTTTAGCTATTAATCAATGCATAATAAGTTAGTCGGATTTTTTAGCGAACGGCTTTAGTTGGTTCGAAATAGTTTTTTTTATAGTTTTAATTGATAGTTTTGTTAAACCTAAGTATTTAAAAATGTGCGTAACCAAAGTAATTTGCCTTACTAATGCCTCGATTAGTATACTAAATAACTCAAAATGTTTCTTTCTTTATCTTACAAGACATTCTTTGATCATTTGCTTCGATGTTTATGACAATCATCAAGTAGGTACTAATGTGAAAAAATATTTTAATTAAAATAGAATAAATAGAATTTTATGAAAGGTTTCATTCGTTAGTTAGTCTTTTCAACCTTTAAAGTTTAATTTACTTTGGCCTTAAAGTTCAATTGTCAATGTGATGAAGGTTGTGCGATATAATATTTAGTTTATTCGTAAACTTGTTAATGTTTATCATAAGCTCGTGTTGAAATTATGTATCTAATTAATACGTATTTAATTTTTATGAATAAAATATTGAATATTAAGTTTTTGTTTTTTTTTTAACCTATTTTATAGTTAAGATTACTTTACATAAAAATTATGAGCACTAACAGATTCTAAAATGCAAATTATATTTATAATAGGCCGGGGAAAAAGTTTCTTTGTATTTTGTTTGTTTGTAACTGGCTGGTTTTAATATCAATACGTATAGGAAGTTAAGAAAAAGAAATATAAAAAGAAAAAAAAAACCATTGAGTTGTATGTACTACGTACCAGAGTCTCTGGTGGAATAGCTTCTCTGGTCCAGAGAAGCTATTCCAATCAAAAAATGTGCACTACACTGTCTTCGCGCATGTGCGGGAGACAGTAGAGTCGCGTATGCAAAATTGATATAAAAGCGCGAAAATAGTCATCATGGATTATGCGTAAATAGAATAATCATTATGTAATAACTGTTTAGATTGTATTGTTAATCGAGTACATTTTTTTAATTTTTGTTTATTTTGCATATGTGTGTGCTAATTTAATTTTCGTATTATTAGCGCCGCTCCGCACTGCATGAATATCGAAGCCACAATAACAGGTGTACGACGGATTCCAGTACAGTTCAGTTGAACATAATGAGTGCGAAATCTAGTGCGTAATACATAATATATCGATGTAAAAAACACTTTCCCGCTATTTTTCAATTGCTCTGTCCGCCAAAATGATTGAACATAGAAATTCGATACATTCTGAAGTTTTATTACAAGAATGGAAAAAAAAATGACTCAAGCCGCGAGAAAAACTTGTGACGTTTTTGGACCTCATGCAGTGTCAGTAGGAGTAGCACGAAGTTGATTCAAGCGTTTTTAGTGCGGGAATTTTAATGTCAATGATTTAGCTCGCTCTGGCCACCCTCATATGGATAAAATCGATGCCATTTTTGGAAAAGTGTAGCAAGATGGGCATATTAGTAGTTACGACATAGCCGAAGAATTGAGGATTGACCACAAAACAGTTTTGACACATTTGAAAAAGTATGGCTAAACAAAAAAGCTCGATATTTGGGTACAACACGAGCTCACTGAAAGAAATCTAATGAACCATGTACTAATTGAAACTCATTGAACTGTACTCATTCTCTATTGAAACGTAATGAAACAAGCTTACTAAATGATGCTAGATGACTCCGATTTAAAGTAAGAGAGATAGCAGAGGCTATGAAAATGTCCAAAGAACGTGTTTGTCATATATTAAATCAAGGTTTAGGCATGAGAAAGCTGTCAGCGCGTTGTATGCGGCGTTTGCTCACGTTAGAAACCGTGTTCGAATGAACGTTTCCAATATTCTGTTGACGCAGCTTTGATAAATCTGACTTTGGCGCTGATTAATTACTATAGATGAAATTTGGATACACCATTATACGCCCGAAACATAATATAGTCAAAATAGTGTACTGCAAAAGGGGAACCAGGTCTAAAAAAAGCAAAAACTGTTTTTTTGGCTGGGAAAGTGTTGGTGACTGCTTTTTGGGTTAGTCATGGAGTTATCTTAATCGATTATCTTCAAATTGGAAAAAACGTTACCGGAGTATACTAAACATAATTACTTGATAAACTGAAGGCAGAAATTGCGGAAAAATGCAGAAAAAGAAAATCGTGTTTCACCATGACAACGTACCGTCTCACAACTCAGCGGTTGCCATGGTGAAAATCCATGAATTACGGTTTGAACTGCTTGGCCATCCGCCTTACTCACAGAACAAGTCCCAAGCGACTTCTTTTTGTTCTCTCGTCTAAAAATTGCGCTCGGAGGACAGAGATTTTCGTCAAATAAGGAGGCAATCGCCTTCGTGAATAATTATTTTGTAGAGAAAAACGCCGAGTACTATTTGGACGGGTTGAAGAAATGGAAGCATCGCTGGGAGAAGTGTGTAGTTACAAGGAGACTATGTAGAAAAATACAAAATAAATTTTAAGAAAACATGCCTCGTATCTTCGTTAGGTCGGAAACTTTTCAGAACACCCACGTATTATGTACAGAAGTATACGTGTGGCACTCGGGGACTGCCGCGTTAAAGCTATTGCATAGTATTTTTATCAACTTATGCAGTTATAATTATTTATTTATTTTATTTATGCTACCTACTTTTCTTTTAGTTGTCTTCAATGTTTTGCGAAATCGAATATATTTTTTGACTACACTCGGATGGACTTCTAATGATCAATCATCGATCAGATCGATAAGGCTGGAGATGGACGGGAATTGTCCTAATTCCCAACCCGTTGAAAATTCTTATTAACTACTAAAGTTACTATAATATTAAGGAACACATTAAGAGCCTCTTCCATTTTAGAGGGAGTATCTTTGTCATTCCTATTTTTTTTAAAACATGGGAGTGTGTCGTGAAAAATATGTACGAATGGGCCGGGGAAGGACGGGCTTCCACAACCTCATAAACACAGCGGGACACTGAAGGTTGCGACAGGTGTTTATTAAATACTCTAAATTCACGAAAGTTGCTAGTATGACGACGACTCATATAAATCCAAAGAATATGCTTCTTGCAATAAACTATATTATTGTTTAAAATATTTTTACTATCGTACAATACATGCAACTAGTCTACACGCATACGTCTAGTCGCACGCACACAACACCGTGCCGAAGTCTGCCGAACTGAAACGACGTTAGACGATGTTAGGTTTTGGGGTCTTAGGTTAATTTTGTTACGGAATTTCTTGGTTCGGTCGCCGCGCTCAAAGCCCGCGATAAAAGCTATGCAATAGCTTAAAAATATGTGTCTATTTGTAACGTCAAAATAACAGCATAATAAATGCATAGTATGGAAATATGTCGGTACGCATAACTGTATAACTGTAACTGTAACTGTAGTCTATACCGTTCGTCCATCTGTCTCTCTATCTGTTTGTTTGTTTTGGCTGTTTCCGAAATGGCTGGATCGATTGTGACGGGATTTTGAACGGGATTTGGACGGGATGGTGTAACTTACTTTTTTATTTTTATTTTAGAAGAAGAATTCGAGTTCCGCGTATAAAAATTAAGACCCATGGAATCCAATCGTAATAAATTCCACGCGGAAGAAGTTGCGGGGACAGCTAGTAAAAAATATAAGTGGAATGCAGAATAACTAATATATTTAAAAATAAAATGCAATTAAAAAAGTTTAAATGAAATTATTAGTAAATTATACACTGTTTCACTGTTGATTCTTTCATTTGTGGGGCTTAAAGTAGATAGAATAATGCCACTCCAATACCTGCTAAAAAAGCGAGGCAACAAATTAGATCACAACAGGCCCGCAAGTAGCCGTATTGGGTGCCCTTGATTTTCGGACGCTCTTTAGTGCTGAAAACACAGCAAATAATACGTGGTTAAATACAATAACCTTTGAGGTTTCTAGAACTTAAAAGGTAGGTAATATCTTTCTCTTAAAAGTTAATTAATATCTTTCTTTCAGGTCAGGTATTAAGGTCTTAAAAGTTAAGAACATTGGCCCACACAAATATAATGTTTGAACTTAAAAATAAACAAAAATATGACAACACTGCAGGAACTTTATGTTCTTTAAATATCTTTACTTCAGTTAGACTAAAAGTTGGAGAACATTGGCCCACAG